GGTTAGGATAATTCAAAGCTCATCATAGCATCATAATATCTAGAGCTGACTAGGTCTTAGAGATCATCTAATCTGACACCATTTTGATAAAGAAACTGAGACTCTCAGAAGAGATGGGACTAAGGCCACCCAGGGAGTCAATAGCAAAGCCTGGATTCTAACCCAGGTCTTCTGATTCTAAATCCTGTGCTTTCTATACGACTTTTCACTCTCTATGCTATTTTCTATACTCTCTCTCTGGGCAGCTAGGTGGTGCCACAGTGCACAGAGTATTGGGCCTGGAGTCAGGAAGACTTCTCTTCTGAGTTCAAATGTGACCTCAGACACTAACTAGCTGTGTGACTCTGGGCAAGTCATTTAACCCTGTTTACCTCAGTTTCCTCAGCTGTGAAATGAGTTAGAGAAATAAAAGGCAAACCAGTCAAGTATCTTTGCCAAGAAAACGCCAAACGGGGTCATGAGGAGTTAGACATGACTGAACAACATGTATTCTATTACACTTTTGGATTTTGAGATTGTCATTCCCTTGTTCAAAAGCCTCAGGCTTCCTATTACCTTTAAGATAAAGTACAAGCTCTTTAGCCTGGCTGTCTAGATGGGAATAATTACTATTACCATTATTAATAGTGATTAATAATTTTAAATATCATTATTAATTAAACCAATAGTAGAGAACCTTGGCCTTAAAGAAACACACAAGACTAGATCATTATAAATATTAGTAGTTAATAAGAATGATAGAAAACAGTTGAGCACCTTCTCACATTCTTTATGTTGGTTCAATAGAACAAACCTTTAAAGGCTCTGGTGTAGCCTTCACCCTCCCATTCTTGGTTCTTATTGGGAAACCTTTGAGGGCAGGTCTTGCTTCTTGGCGTGAGTCTTTGGCTAACATTACATACAGCATCAACATAGATGGCAATCTGAGCCACTGTCTGGGAAATCCAAGCAAAAGCAGTATAGTATCCCAAATTTTCTGAGTCATTACAGCAGGGGCTATGTCTTCAAATACAAACTGAACTAAAAACCTTCTAATTGGAATAATTTGTTTTTAGTAAAAAGAAAAATGAGTCACTCTTGAAGAGAATATTGGGGGGGGTGATTATGGCCTCCATGAGGGCAGGGTCTGTCTTTTTGCTTGTGTTTGGATCCCAAATGCTTAGCACATAGTAGGTGCTTAATAAATGTTTATTGCTTGCCTGACTGATTGATGACTGAAGGGCTGTCATAGGGAAGAGTGGTCAGACTGGTTCTGCTTGGTCACTGAAGGCAGAATAAGCCACAGTGAGTTAAAATTGAAGTCAGGCTAGTTTTAGGACTGATGTAACAAGGGGTGGATTGTTAAATGTTAATGAACAGATGTCAGAGGAAAAAAAATATGCCAGACACACTTATAGTTTAATCTGCGTTATTAACATTTTCTCCATCACTTTCTTAAGTCTAGATAATCAACAAAACCATAAACCAAGCTCTTATTTGTAGCATTTGCTGATTTCTGAACTGTCAGTGCCCCCCTGAAAATTTAACAGTTGGCTCTTGGGAACAGATAAGAGCTGCTCCAGCATACCTCAGCACATCTCTACATATAAAGGAAAACTTCCATGGCAACCAGAGATATCCAAGGCATCCAAAAGGATCATGGGCTGCCTAGGTAGGTAGTGAGTCCCCTTTCATGGGAAGTCTTCAAGCAAAAGCTAGATGCCCACTTGTTAGGTATTTTGAAGAGTGGGTTCTTGGCAAGGCATGGGTTGCAATGATTGGTCTTTGAGGACCTTTCCTACTCCAAGATTTTGTAATTTTGTTTTTCTTTCTGGAAAAACAGTTTAATGGAAATTTTATTTTTTTCTAAAAAAAACCTCTTCAGTCAAAATGATTAAAGTGTGTGTGTGTGTGTGTGTGTGTGTGTGTGTAGAGATTACTCACTTCAACCCTGTCATTTTATGAGGAGACAGAGGCCTTGAGAAATTAAATGCCTTAAGGTCAGACAGCAAGAGTTAGAGTTAGGCAGACTGGGAATAGAACAAAAGGTATACTTTTTACTATATTATGGGGCTTCTCCATTACGATTCTCTTTTTTGGGCCTGGAAATTCTTTTACATTGTTTGTACCAATTTGTATTTTATTAAGTGGGTTTTTTAAACCCTAAAATTCTCTGTTGGAAATTTTTTTTGGTTGGTGTTGTTGAGTTATTTCATTTGTGTCCAACTCTTTGTGACCCCATTGGGGGTTTTCTTGGCAGAGAGACTGGAGTGGTTTGCTATTTCCTTCTCCAGCTCATCTAACAAAATAACTGAGGCAAACAGGGTTAGGTGACTTGCCTAGCTAGTAAGTGTTTGAGACCAGATTAGAACTCAAATCTTCCTGACTCCATCCACTGTACCACCTAAGCTGCCTTGTTGGAAATATGTTGTGTATTTATTTATCTATGTGCATATTGTTTTCTCCCAATAGAATTAAACTCCCTGAGGGCAGGAATTATTTAGTTTTGTTTTTGTTTATGCAATGGCTAGCCTGATATTTAGTAGGCATTTAATAAACACTTGATAAATTGAATCATCACATTAGCCTCTTGAAGTCATGTCAGAGCTTAACCTAGCACTCAGAAAAATAGATGTCTGCAGAGTTTAAATACTGAGAGATGAGGGAGTGAGTATCCTTTTTCCACCACTGGGGTGGCCAATGGTGGGTTGAGGCTTTTCTGAGCAGGCCCTTTTAAGGATTTGCCTGATCAGAAATTTTGCGCATCCCACCTGGTTTAGGCACTGCTAAGGAGGATATAGAAGCAGGAGGAAAGTAGCAGCAAACTTGGGGGCAAATGAAAACAGGACAGCACAAAGAAAATGACAGTCTGAGAGCGAGAGCTCAGTCAATCCAACAGCAAATATTTGCTAAGCATTGGGAACATGCCCAGTATTTGCAAGATCCTGGGTTCAGAGGTTCATCAGGGGAAAACTAGGCAGCTTTGAAATGAAACATACTGAATTCTTCATTTGATAACTGGCGACTTAATTGTTGCTTACATGGTTTATTAAATGAGATAACTTTTACGTAAAATGTTTCAGAAACTGTAAAGATATCTATCTCAGCCACAGTTCCCTTATCTGTAAAATGAGGATAATCTACCTCCCAATGTTGTTCTGAGGATGAAATGACATATTTGTAAAGCACTTTGCAAACCTTAAAGAGCTCCATAAATGCTAGCTATTATTATTAATAGTATTATTATCTGTCAGTTTTTATTATTGTTGTTATCTTTTTTCGGCCTATAAATAATTAGCTTAGCTGGTTGGAATACATTGTAAATGATATTAAAGGTCCAGCTCCAGGAGCTGTCTTTTACATGAGGCCTTCTTGTTTCTTCTAATGTCCCCCCCAAATATCTTATATCTATTTTGTATATGCTATATATGGACATGTCTCCCCCAGCTAGATTGTAAACTCCTTGAGGGCAGGGACTGTTTTGATTCTGTCTTTCTATTATCTAAAGCAAATACTTGTTGACTTATTCTTAACCAATCTGATGTCTATGTGGAACAAGCAGTAGGCTTGAAGTTAAGGATTCTGGTGTCAATCACTCAATCGATCAACATTTACTAAGGGCCTACTTTAGACTCACTCTTGCTAGCTGTGTAATATTGATCAAATGTCTCTGAGAGTAAAGATAATGCCATGTAAATCTCAAAGCACTATATGTAGATGCAAGTTATTATTATTATTAACTTAGTTCCTTTGTATATAGCCCCTAATCTTGGTAGATCACCTAACTTCCACCATGGTCACAAGGGAGACTGGGCAAGTGCATACCCTTGATGTCCAAAAGTGGAAGGTAGTAAGTTTCCTGTTACTGGAGATCCTCAAGATTTCACTTATTAGGAATGTTGTAACACTGATCTTGCTTAGGAATAGGTTGACCTGGATGACCTTGGAGATCCTTTTTGATTCCAAAATGAAAAGACTTTCTGGCTTATACAGCTTGCGAAAGCTCTGAAAGTACATTCTTAACTCACGATGAATCACTTCTGCTGTTGTTAGGTACAGAGGACAGTTTTATGTATGGATTTTTAAATGTGGGTTTATGTGTGGCTTATGGGGTCAATAGAATCTCTTTTGAGGATCCCAACTACTAAAATGTTGGTGGTTTATTTCACCCACAAAGCCTCTTTGGTTTAAAACATAAGCATTTATTTAAATGGTCAGTAGGTCCAGCTACTGTTTATGTCCTTCCCTCATCACAATCCATCAATGTTTTGAATAGATGCTTAGTTATCTGGAGAGTAAGGGAAGGATTTGTGTAAGATGGCATTCTAACATTCCCAGAAGGCACTGCCATTTTATTTCCCAAACTGTGTCCGTTCTGTATTGGCCAGTCCTCCTCTGCTTTTCTCTCATATCCTTGTCCCACCTTTCAGTATGAGTGATTTGGGTGACATGTAGGTGAAATGCCACCCTAAATCCTGTAGGTGATAGTGAGGTGAGGGAGATGATGGCAAGTAAGCCTTCTCCTCTGCCCTGCCTCCCTTTTCCCCATCAAGGCAGGGAAAAATGAAGCTTGGTATATATTAAAACCACACAGTCAGCAGCTTCAGTCAGACTACCTCAGAATTCTTAAGAGCACCTTGGGATTCTACCCAAACTAATCTGACAGACAGTCCATTTAGTTAATTCCAATGTCAGAAAAGTAGACCGATCTAATTGATGAAACGTAAAACTTTCCAATTTCACTTTCTCCTAATAAGACTGTTCAGGAAAAAAAAAAGCCATCTGCCCTTAAGAAACCCAGGAAGGAAGTTGACATATGTTAGCATTTCCACTGCCTATTGCTTGAAGAAATACTGAGCATGGCCTGCATAAGGCAAAGCTTCTTTTTTTATCAGGAAGGCGAGATAAGGCCAAGAGTTCCTCAGAGGAGAGTGAACCTTAACTGACGGAAGACTGGGCTTCTTATCATTCAAGTACGTGTCATAAAGAAGGTAAAAATAGGTACATCTTGGATAACCATGTCCAAAGCATGACATCTCCAACTCCCACACATTTATTTCAGTGAATTAAAGCCTGATTCATTCACTACTCTTTAAATTCTTCCAAAAGGAAAACTAGAAAGAAAAAAGCCAGTTCATGCACAAAGAAAATACATGGTCAACTATGTTGAATAAATAATTGAAAAGAACTGGAGTCTCTGTGCTGAACCATCCTCCACATACTATCCAATAACATGTAACACTGCTACCCCTTAGGAGTATGAAATAATGGATTTGTTTGATAACAAATAATATCTATTTTGACTATGTAGTGGACCAGCAGAGAAACCAAAGTAATTGATGGACTCCATTTGCCCCTGGTCCCCTTTGTGCCCTGGCAGTGGCAAAGTTTGGGCTTTAAAATCCTTGGAAGGGCTCTGTTGGGAAGACAGCTGTGGCAGACGAAGCTCACTGTACTTTATGCCCCTGATCCACTTTGTAGCCAGATCCATCCAGCCTGCATCTACACATTCAATCATAATTGAATGATGTGTTGGTGGAGCCTGGTGGTAATGAATTGTAACTCTGCATTCTTGGCGTATACATTCTTAACTGTCATCTTTCCATAAAGCAGCAGCTGTTAATCAGTTTTCTGACATGGAGTGTGCCCTAGATCAAGGTGATGACCTCCTTAGGAACACTGCTGTCCATGTGAAACTTTCATTCCTTACTTCTCTATTCCCTTTCATGTTTATTTTCATGGATTATAATACATTATGGATCCATCTGCACTCCTCATACCCAGTAATCTTAAGATAATTTTCTGCTAACACTCAACTCTTTGACTTTGTGTTCCTTTTTTTCCACCATCTTCCCTGCTCGTTCCCCACCCCCCTATTCCATCTACTTCTCTGATTTTTTTACATTCTCCTCACCCAATTCTGTTTCCCCAAGATCCCCTTTGGGTGCTTCAAAGGCCAACCTTACTCATATTGGACATATAGCTAAAAGGGTCAATTGTAGTAGTGCTTCCAAATAACTAGTTCCATGTAACATCTTTAGAGTCTTAGATTTTTTTCTTTCCTCCTTTCCAAGATTGCCTACTCCAGTTAACATAGTCAGCACCAGTGTATAGCTTTGTACAAGAGTATGCCTTTTGATACCTCCCCTCCCCTTCTACCCTAAACAGTATGCCAATATTTTCTTCTTTCCTGGCTTGGCAGGCTATTGGGTACTACCTACATCCACATTCTGCCACACTCATTCCTTCATATTGGTATTTTAAAGTGGGCACTCCAACATCATCTTTGTAAAGGATAGAAATTGGGTTCAGTTTGGTGGGCACACAGCAGGCTTTCCCAGCTTTCATGGGATTTTTGAGATGCACTAAAGTCTGAACAATGGCATGCTTAGTTGGAGTCACATCATCGGCGAGAGGGAAGAAGCAGACTCCTTTACATTCATATGCATCATACTCCTTCGGGGCAATGATCCAATTGTCCCAGCCAATATCCTTGAAGTTGACTCTAAGGGAGCTCCTTTGGCAGTGGTTATTGGGAGTTGTGCTTCTCTTGTTTCTGGATGAAAATGGTCTCCTGATGGAGAAATTCTCCATTTCTTCTTCCATTTCCTCCTCTTCCTGAGGACTAACATTCTTGGACAATTTCTTGAGCACGCTCTCTTGCTCATGACCTATCATTTCTCTGAGCTCCATCTTGGTTTCCTTTGTCCCATTGCTGCGGTCATCAGAGAATACAACAAAGAAGGGAAAGTTTTTGGATTCTGGGGGGACACTGATGTCTAGTTTTTCACATCCTTTCATGTGACTTTCCACTCTGATTTCCAGTTTGTTTTTGTTCTTTGTTGGGTCTGACCTGACCCATCGTTTCACTGCACTGGAGACCTCAAATGTTTCCCATCCACTTTCTTGGATGACCTGGGACACAAGGAAAGACTTGGTCCCCTCTGTGCCTTCCCAGAAGTCTGTTCCACCTTGGATGTCATAAATGGCAATGTTGCCTTTCAGTTCGTGGGACAATTTGGCGTGGCTTTGACATGAGATATAGAGCCGGAGCTCAGCCCTGGTGATTTGTTCATGTCTTGGGATAGAGATGTTGAAAAGTAAGATGTGCTTCTGGAAGAGATGTCTGTCTGTCGAAGACATAGAGACAACATCTGCAATGGAAACACACATATGGTGACCTGATTTATTTTACTTGGCTCATTCAGTTTTCCTGCTTGAAAGCTCCAAAGTTAAATGCACTCATCTAGTCCAGCCATTCCCCTCCTCTTATTTTGCAGTTGAGGAAACTGAGATCCAGAGGGATAAAGTGAATTGCTTAAGATCACGTTAGTTAGCAGTAGCAAAGCCAGGACCTAGACTCAGGTCTCTTGGTTAATAGTCTCAGATTCTTACTGCTGTATTGAGTTATCTCTTCCCTCCCCCCCTTTTTCCTTCCTTCCTTCCTTCCTTCCTTCCTTCCTTCCTTCCTTCCTTCCTTCCTTCCTTCCTTCCTTCCTTCCTTCCTTCCTTCTTTCCTTCCTTCTTTCCTTCCTTTCTTCATTCTTTTTTCCTTTTCTTCCTCCCTCCCTTTCACAAATATTTATTGTTCACTAATCACATACAGGGCCCTGTGTCTGATGCTATGAAAGAATTACAAAGAAGAATAAGACAGCTTTTTTGCCTTCAAGGAGCTTACAGATTGCTGAAAGGTGGAAATGACACATACATGAGTAATTTGAATACGTAAGAGGCAAAATGATGCGTTGAGAAGAACGTTGTCATTGGAATTAAAGGACCTGATCTGAATTCTGTGTCTGCCACTTAATAACTCTGTGACTGGGTAAGGTCTGACACTTCTGTGAGCCTCAATTTCTTCATTTGTAAAATATAGATAATACCTATCACATAGAGTGGCTGTGAGGGTGTGAGCTATAACAACAATAATCATAACAATAATGATAATCCCTTGGTTTACATAGGCATTCCAGATTTTAGTGTTGATTTGGCATCACCAAATAATGACATGTTTGATCCATTGTTTGCCTTTCCAGAAGATAGAAATCATAACATTTCTTTATGAAGTATTTTTAAAGAACTTCAAGTGAAAGAAATTCAGTAATTTCAAATCACCATTGCAAATGAAAGTAGAAGGATGATGTATCATAATGAGCTCGAAGTAATCTGAAGTGAATTCCTGTTTTCCTATGGGCTTTTGAGAAAGCTCTGATTTATTGCTGCCAGCCTTAAATTGAACACCTTGAGAATTTTTTTTAAAGGGCGGTGAGTGGGAGGGGGAAGTGACATTCCAATGTTAGGAAAAGAACTTGATCCAGAGACTGAAATGGTTCAGCAACCAGCAGTGACTACATATTCTTAATTGAAGTTGAGGATTATCAGGGTGATTTAAAGAAAAAAAAATACTTTGATCTCCACTATCATTGTTGGGGTAGGGGAAAGGGAGATTTTGCTTAAATTCTCCAGATCATTTCTTTAATTCCCCACTTCACTTTGCATCTGGAAATATGGCAATAGAGGGCTTTCCGTAATGATAATGCAGTCACTGCTTTCTATACAGGGAAACCCCCGATAACACCAGTGTCAGGGGACAAAACTAACACCATTTATTTTATAGCATCCTCCTTAAATTGGGCTTGAGGAATATGATTTACCCTGTGGTATACTTGACATTCTTTTTCAGTTCTGGAATTGTGATTTAATTGATGTAGAAAAACTTTTAGTGAGGAAGCTCCCTCTATCAGTACAGACGGGCAACTTCTGCAACTTATATAGTCTTAGCAAGCTTATCCAAGGTCTCCTCGCCAATGTATGTTTCAGACAGGACTTGAACCCGGGTCTTTCTGACTCAGAGGCTAGTTTTCTGGCTACTGTACCACTTTGCCTTTCAATGGAGTTCTACCATATGGCAAATGACCGCAAAGTCATTCCCACACCACATTCATTTCAAATGAGTCTAGACAACAGGGGGGCGGTTGGCCTGGAAGTCAGGAAGACCTGAGTTGAAATTCTGCCTTTAACATTCATTAATTGTGTTACCATGGGCAAGTACTTAACATTGAAGTATGCCAGGAGCCTTTCTCAGGCAATAAATATTTTTAAGTGTGTCATTAAACATTTATTATGCCCCTACTATGTGTCAGGCACTATGCTAAGCACTGGGGATTCAAAGAAAGGCAAAAGACAATCTTAGCCCTTGAGGAGCTCACAATCAGGTCCTAAGTTGCTGATGAGTTGTCAGTCTGCTTTGGTGGAAGTTTCTAAACTGATGAAACCACAGGTCCCAAACAAACAAACAAAAAAAGGCAAGCAAATATTTAGGGGACAAATCCATCCTCTTGCAAATTTCTACTGAAAAGAAAGGTTAATCCTCTGATTAACCAAGCTGTACTTCTGGAAACTTTAAGAAAACCCCAAATAGGGTCATAAAAAGTTGGATGTGATGGAAAATTGACTGAACAACAACACCTCTACATAGTCAATAAGTCTGTTTTTGTGTCTGTTGATTCTTTCAAAACCATCTGCACCAATGCCTGCACATTCATTCTAATTAATTGCTGGGGATGGTTGAGGGGACCTACTGTGGTTGCTAACACAATCTCAATCTACCTGACTGCTTGGTTTCTCAGTTTCATAGGCTTATAGAACATCAGAACTCTATGGTATTCTAAAGATTGTCTATAATAAGCCACTCACTTTTGTAGATGAGGAAAATGAAGCCTAGAGGCAAAGCAAGTTGTGTAAGTCGCACAGCAGGTTAGTGAAAGAAGTGGGAATAAAACCCAAGTCTTCTGGCTAGTGAATCAGTATGCTACCACTACAGCTGGTCATCAAACCATATAAGCTTCTTGTGTAAAGGAAACCATAGATTATTTAATTAGAGACTGAGGGATGGCAGAACCAAGGAAATTCTCAAAGAGCTTTCCTTTTCTGTCTTACTTTCTTTTCTAAACCTATTGACAGGATAGAAATAACAATCATTTTTAAAAGCCTGAAAATCCAGTATGTGAAATCCAGGGACTGACAAATTGGCTAGTCCATTAAATAATATGGAAAAAGAGGAGCAACTCCCCAAACTAACACCTCTAGGTCTTCATCTCCAACAGCTTGTTACTCGGAAGTACAGAAGAAAGCGAGGGATCATTGGCAAAGACCCATGCAATATAGAACTGATGAATTTATCAACACACACATTCATTAAGTACCTTTTATAGTCCAAGCACCCTGCTAAGCTAGACACAGGGGATATCAAAAAGACCCTTCCTCCCCCAGATTTATCCATACCTTCAATGCTGAAGCTTCTCACTATGTTGGATGTTGGAGTGGACGATTTGTCGGTGGTATATCTGTTGTACAGATCAATCATGAACTGAGGCGGCTCCACTTTGGTCCTGTCTTGGGAAGGGACCCCTGATAAATTCAGGCTCCGCAAGAAATCCACCTTCATGTTCTCCAGGAACATTTTGAAATCAAAGCTCATGTCATCCTCCCCCTTCATAGCCTCCCCGAAGAATTTATTGGTGCTTTCCACGGCAGGCACCCTCTCCCAGTTCTCTAAGGGCTTACCTCTCCCACAGCAGGCCAGGAAAGATAAAGCGAGCAGACCAGCCAGCAAGGCAAAATAAGGCATTTTTTGGGGGTGGGGGTGTGCCCTGTCTGCCAACAGGATGAAAAAGGAGCCCAGGTTACTCCAGCTTGAGACAGTTGATGGATTAGATCCTGGAGGAGGGAGAGAAAATGAAGGAATAGCCTTGGAACATCCCGTTTCCGCAGGCTTTTCTAACCACAATCTCTCATCAGTTGTCAGCCGGGGCTGGCCATACACTTGTAACTTATCTGAATTGCCTCAGTGGTTCTTATCTCCCAAAGCTCTTAGTTTTAGTTAATGATGATTCTATAAACATCTGACAAACACAAATGGCTTGTGGGAAGAACATTGTATACTGTAAAGAATTCGCATTTCACTTTGGGGTTATCGGCTGCTTAATTAGTTTTTTTTTTCTTTCTTTCCCTCCTCATTTCCTTGCCAGCTCTGAGCTGAAGAGGATTGGGATGTGGTGGGGGGCGGGGAATGTCATATGCTCAGAGTTTTCCAGGTCCCTGAATTTGGGGTGTGTATGTGTGGAGGGAACAGGAGGATAAGATTCAAGGAGGACAGAAACAAACTTGGTTTTGCCACACCTCTGGGCTCAAAGTACTGGGCTCTGGAGCCTCTGAGAGTTTGTGTAAATCAGGTTGAATTCAAGCATCAATGAATAAGCTTCATGCCCCGAAACACACTTAAAAAATACAAATAAACTTTAAAACCCCCCTCCCATTTTATCAGCCTAGAGCTACTATTTGTTCAGGAACAATATCTGTTTTGTGTCAAGTTGGTCTTCAATTGTCCCTTTGGAGACTGTGTTCTTTGGAGGGTTGTGCGTGTGTACGGGTATGTGGTGGGGGTGGGGGGGCGTGCGAGACACCCTGCTTCTGGAGGGAATGTTATGCAATGTTTCCTCTCCATTTTGTACACGAGGTTCTGGGTTAAGTCCCTGAGCCCCAAATGACCAGTTATGGTTTCAATGACCTGAAAATGACGATAAGCCTGAGGCGTGTGCATGTGTCGCCTTCATCCTTTTGAGTAAAGAGTTTATTTCCTGTTACTGAAGTCTATATACAAATTTATATTTAGGGGGTGGGGGGGTAAAGTTCACATGTGAGTATTGACTAAGGCCCAGTGAAGATCAAGACTAAAAATAAGTGTTGTGGGTGTTTTTGGTTGTTTATTGTAGGGAAAGATTTATGAATGGCATTACATTGTTCCCTTTCAAGAGGTTGCAATTAGCTGAACCAATCTTCTAGGGTGGAAGGTTAAGAAGGAGGGAATAGCAACACTCATACTCCCTACTATTTTTATTCATTTTCATTCTCTCCCCCAGCTTGGGGGTGTGTGGAGGTGAGAGATAAGCTGTCAGAAGCCCATGGTAGCTTAGTCAACATGGACACTACTATTTTTTTTCCCCTTCTCTCCCTTCTCTACTCGGAGTGGAGGGCCAAATCAACCAATCAATCGATCTGTAAGACTTTATTGAGTTCTAACTATGTAGTGGGCACTGTGCTAAATCCTGGTGGTTATTGTTTTTTTTTTTAATTAATTTATTTTGATTTATCAACAATCACTTCCATAAGCTTTTGAGTTTCAAATTTTTCTCCCCCTTTCTCCCCACCACCCTCCCCAAGATGGGGCACAATCTGATATAGGCCATACATATACATTCCTATTAAACATATTTTCACATTAGTGATGTTGTAAGTAAGAATTAGAACCAATAGGAGGAACCAACAGAAAGACAAATCAAAACACAATGGAAGAAAAAAAACAGCAAATAGTATGCTTCAATCTGCATTCAAACTCCATAGTTCTTTCTTTGGATGTGGATAGCATTTTTCATCATGAGGCCTTTAGAGATGTCTTAGATCCTTGTATTGCTGAGAAGAGTTAAGTTTATCAATATTAGTACCTAACTGATTATGTTATTCCCTTCTTGAGCCAAATCTGATGAGATTAAGGTTCAAACAATGCTCATATCCCTCCCTTCTTCCCCTCTGCTATCATAGGTTTTTGTGTCTTTCCTATAATGTAATTTACCCTTGTCTGCCTCCTCCTTTCCTTTTCTCTCAGTACATTTTCTTAGAGCAGATTGATCCACTTACTTGGATCCATTTAACCCACTTGATTTTTTTTTATCATTACATCAAAGTCAACTTATCCACCCCCTTTATGTATATCCCTTGAACATGGTGTAATAACAATACAGTTCTCAAGGGTTACAAGTGTCATCTTCCCTTGTAGGGATGTAAACAGTTTGCCCTTATTAACAACATGTTGTTTCTTTCTGTCCCTTTTACCTTTTTATGTCTCTCTTGAGTCTTGTATCTGAAGATCAAATTTTTCTCTTGAGCTCTGGCATATTTTATCAGGAAGGATTAGAAATCCCCTATTTCATTGAATATCAATCTCCTCCTCTGAAAGATCATGCTCATTTTCACAGGGTAGTTGATCCTTGGTTGTAATCCAAGCTCCTTTGCCTTATGGAATATCAATATTCCACACCCTATGGTCTTTTAATGTAGAAGCTGCAAGGTCCTGTGTAATCCTGACTGTGGTTCCATGATATTTAAATTGTTTCTTTCTGGCTGGTTGCAGTATTTTCTCTTTGACCTGGTAATTTTGGAATTTGGCTACTATATTCCTTGGCATTTTCAATTTGGAATCTCTTTCAGGAGGTGATCAGTGCATTCTTTCTATGGCTATTTTACCCTCTGGTTCTAGGGCAGTTTTCTTTTATGATTTCCTGAAAGATATTATCCAGGCTCTTTTTTTTTTTTCATCATGATTTTCAGGTAGACCAATAATTTTTAAATTGTCTCTCCTGGATCAATTTTCTAGGTTAGCTGTTTTACCCCTGAGGTATTTTAAATTTTCATCTATTTTACATTGTTTTGTTTTTGTCTGACTGATTCTTGCTTTCTCATAGAGTCATTAGTTCCATATGTCCAATTCTAATTTTTAACAAATTGTTTTCTTCTGTTAGATTTTGTACCTCTTTCCCCAGTTGGCCAATTGTATTTTTTAAGGACTTGTTTTCTTCAGTGTACTTTTTTCTAGTTGGTCAATTGTATTTTTTAGGAACTTGTTTTCTTCAATGTGCTTTTTTTTTTCCCAGTTGGCCAATTGTATTTCTTTTTCAGCCAAAGACAAGGTTTATTAGAGCATCTGTAATATTGCTCAGACTCTTAAGCAGTCTGAACATTAGGGAGCTGTTGGCTAGATTATAAGAATCTGAGCAGTGGCTAGATTTTAAGAATCTAAGCTGGCGGCTATTTCCTTTTTAAACAAAAACAGTTAATATTTATAGCAACTCATTTTTTGTAGTGGCTAAGAATTAGAAATCAAAGGGATGCCCATCAATTGGGGAATGGTTAAACAAGCCGCAGTATATGATTGTGATGGAATATTATTGTGCTGTAAGAATTGGCGAGCAAGATGGTTTCAGAAAAAAGCTGGAAAGACTTACATGAACTGATGCAAAGTGAAGTGAGCAGAACCAGGAGGAAGTTGTACACAGTAATAGCAATATTGTACAATGAAGAACTGTGAAGCTATTTTCAGCAATACAATGATCTAAGACAATCCTAAAGGACTAGTGATAAAGTATACTTTCCACTTCCAGAAAAAGAACTGATGTCTGAATATAGACTGAAGCATGCTATTTTTCACTTCTTTCTTCCATTTTAAAAAATTTGAGTCTTCTTGTACAAAATGACTAATATGGAAATATTTTACATGATTGCACATGTATAACCTATATCTGATTGCTTACCTTCTCAAGAAGGGGGGAGAAGAGGGAGGGAGGAAGAGAATTCAGAACTCCAAACTTAAAAAAAATGTAGAAAAATTGTTTTCACATGTAATTGGGGGAAAATAAAATATACATTTTTTTTAAAAGCAAAAAACAATCCCAGTCCTCAAGGAGATTTCACTCTAATGGGAGAGGCAGTAGTAGCTATTGTCCTATATCTCTTGTCCCTTTCATGGCTCCACATCTTGAGAAGGCCGTCTGTGATCAATGCCCTCTCTACTTCCCTTCCTACCACTGTCTTCTTAACCCTCTGCAGCCTGGCTTTCTTCCTCCTTATTCAACTGAAACTGTTTTCTCCAAAGTTACCAGCGATCTCTTAATCACCAAATTCAATGGCCTTTTCTCAATCCTTATTTTTCTTGAACTCTGTGCTACCTTTAACATTGTTAATCACCTTCTTCTTCTTGATACTCTATTCCAGGGATTCCCAGACTTATTTGACCTACTGCCCCCTTTAAAAAAATTACTCGGTGCCCCCCCCCGAAGTCTACTTTTTTAACCCTTTAATGTTTTTTCAAATTTGTGTCATTTCAAAAAAAATTTTTTTAATGTTTTTTTTTAATGACACATCTTAAGTTCAATAATTCATTGTAAATTTGTGGGTTCCCACCCCCACATTGAAATTCTGGTGATACAATATTGCAGTCATGTAACCATAAAGTATTGTATTGTAAACAAGTCATTACATGCACATATTCCTGATGATGCCTGCTGGACTTCCCAACAATGCATGACACGCTCACCTGCAAACACCTGTTTGTTAAGTAAGACCTATTGGTGGACTTGACCACTGATTGGTTATAATTTGTATTTTGTGTGTTTATTTGGAAAATAATGTAACCACTATGACTTTAACTCTGTTACACAACAGATGAAACATGTATGAACAGTTTTTCAAATTTTTCTTCTCTTCTTTCCTTATGCTTCCACTGCTCCCTTATTTTTATTTAATGTCTCCCAACTGTACCGAGGCTACTACTGCTCCCCCCACCCCCCCGCCCTGCCTTGGATCATTCCATGCCCCTCAATTCAACAAACTCCAAAGGTTCCTGAATCAACTCCAGTATCAAATGTAAAATCCTCTGTTTAGAATTCAAAGTCCTTAATAACTTGCTCTCCTCCTACTTTTCCTGTCTTCTGCTTTACTCTCCTCCATGTACTCTAAGATCCAGGGACACTGGCTTCCTTGCTATTCCTCAAACAAAACACTCCATCTCCAGACTCCATGCATTTTCACTGGGGGTCCCCCATCCCTGGAATTCTCTCTTCTCTCATCTCTACTTCCTGGCTTCCCGCAAATTTCAGCTAAGATCCTAACTTCTGCAAAAAGCCTCCCTTGATCTTTCTTAATGCTAACGCCTTCCCTCTGAGATTATCTCCAATTATCAGAATAATTCAGGTAAAAAATATCTTTGTGAGAC